AGGAGGCATATTATAGACTACTATGAAAATGATACTGGACTCTTTTTTAAAGAGTGTGTATAGAGAGTGAGAAAGGTTTGGAAAAGTAATCCCTAATGTTACATTTTCACACCTAAAGGTGTATAAGTTGAAGAACAGAAAAATATAAGTAAGCATTTTGATTAAACTACTTTTGGAATGTGAGCACTATAAAAATCAAAAAAGGTAAATTTTTCTCCCAGTTTCAGTATACAAGAATGTATTATGAATACATTTAGAAAAGATCTCCAGTATTCATACTGATTATGAACGTTGTTAAACACTACTAATTTGCTTTTTTTTAAATGAGCAATGCTAGAATTTAAACTTTATAAATGTTCACTGTAAAGTTACAAATTTCTCTCTTTCCACCTACTGAAAATTGATCAGCGAATATAAATTAAGTTATTTGTGCCATGTGGTGGTCACTATAAGCTGAGCATATTACAAAATTGCCATTCTTCTCTCCTAATGTGATTAATATAACTGTTATTTCTGCTTTCTAGACATAGAATGTTAGACCAGACATCTCCTATGTCAGTGCTAACGCACACATAAATTTTTGTTGTTGTTGTTCTAACCTTTGTAAAAGAGTTTCATTGGAGCCATCTTTTAATTAAACATATTCTGGACCAATACATAAGATCAAGAAACAAATAAATTACTTAAATCATGTAACCTTCTCATGGGTGCACAGTTCTCTATGTACTACGTAAGACAAGTAGTATCTTAACTGGGGAGGTGAACTGCTAATGATGACTTAAGGTAACTGAAGGGACGAGGTAGCACTGTGTCATTTGATTTATCAAATCAGCTTGAACATAAACTGCCGTACGGAGAAGGAGAGAACATACAAGTGAGGCATCAAGCTTAGCATGGACTTCACTTATAATTGGTACACTTATGATATCCACTACCTACTCCATGGTTCAACGTAACATGAAAATATAAGAAAGGCAGATAACCCAAGTTTTCCACTTTAATAGCACGGAACTCACAACTAGAGGTTATACTCAATACACTCACATTTGTGAGGTACGTGGCAATAAATAATTCTTCTAAAAAAATTCTTGATTTAGAATTCTGGAGAAACTATTTTTAAATAAAAAAGAGGGATACAACCCACCTCATTTATCATTTCTATTTCTCTAAATGTCAGTCTGTCCAGCCAGTCTACCTTCACCATGTGTCCTTGTCGGTGAGCTTTGGTGAGCTGCAGAACAAACATAATGGAGAAAGTTTTAAGGTCTCACTGAAAGCAGGATAAAGAATGGTAATGATCATCAATATAATACTGGAAGTACTAGCTGATGCAATAAGACAAGAAAAAGGCAATAAGTGATGTACAGATTGGGAAGAAAGAACACTGGTTTTATTCCCAAGTGACATAATCATCTATGCAGAAAATATTTTAAAAAATGGACAAAAAAACTCCTGGAACTAATAAGCAATGATAGCAAGGAGGATACAAGATTCATACACAGATGTCAATCTCTTTCCTATATACCAGCATTAAATAAGTAAAATTTGAAATTAAAAACACAATACAATTTACATTACCAGCCCCTAAAATGAAATTAGAATGAATCTAACAAAATATGTACAAGATCTACATGAGGAAAACTACAAAACTCTAATGAACAAAATCAAAAGAACTAAATAAATGGACAGATATTCCATTCAGGGTAAGAAGGCACAATATTATCAAGATGTCAGTACTTCCCAACTTGATCTATAGATTCAATGCAATTCCAGTCAAAAAACTCCCAACAAGTGATTTTGTGGATATCAATAAATTGATTCTAAAGTTTGTAGGAGGCAAAAGATCCCTAATACCCAAACACAGTATTGAGGAACAAAACTGGAGGATACACATTACCCAACTGCAAGTCTTAATACACAGCCACAATAATCAAGACAGTGTACTATTAGCAAGAACAGATAAATGGATCAGTGGGACAGAACAGAAAGTCCAGAAGTAGACCACATGGAATCAACTGATTTTTGACAAAAAGCAGA